CAGTGCAGGGAGCCAGCTGCCAGCAGAGCCCCAGACAGAGAGAATGGGGCCGATGCCAACCCCACCCCCACTGGAAAGCAGCGGCCTGGATGAGCCAGGCAGGCCCCAGCTGCTTCCCAGGGGAGGGGACACCCTGTCTCCGGCCAGCCGCTGTTGGAGGGACGAGTGTTTCGCGCTCCGAAGGGCCGTGCTCAGCCCTGAAGAAGAGGCGCTCTGGGAGCAACAAGCTGGTCTCTCTCGCCAGCAGGGCCGATGCCAACCCCACCCCCACTGGAAAGCAGCGGCCTGGATGAGCCAGGCAGGCCCCAGCTGCTTCCCAGGGGAGGGGACACCCTGTCTCCGGCCAGCCGCTGTTGGAGGGACGAGTGTTTCGCGCTCCGAAGGGCCGTGCTCAGCCCTGAAGAAGAGGCGCTCTGGGAGCAACAAGCTGGTCTCTCTCGCCAGCAGACGTCGGTCCCATAAGAGAGATTCCCTAATCCCCTGCTGCACTGATCTCCTGGGACCGGCGCTGCCGGGTACTAGCCTGCCCTGCTGACAGCTCTTGGCGGCCGAGGCCTCGGCCGGAATCCGTCCTCTGGACCTTTGTGCCGAGGGAGGAGGGTCTGGGATTGCCACCGGAGTGATGTTGCCGGGCGGTAGCAAAGCCCAGCTGTGGTCGTGCTGCGGCCAGGACCGTTGCCGTGGACGCTGGTGGTCAGCTGTGCCAGCAGGGAGATGGTCCTGCTGGGGCGCAGCGCGGTGGCAAGACAGGGATTGCAAATCAGTCTGGCAGGGCCTCCCGGAGGGTCCCTGGGGACGTGCAGAGTGAGGGGCCAGGGCCGTGTGCGTGGAGATGTGGCCCTGCATTCCCTAGACAGCTACCTGGGGAGGGAGAGGCCTCTCCACTTGGAATTTGGCGTCACAGAAAGGGCGCAGGAATCCCAGCAATGGAGGGTGATGCCCTGGGCATCTAGCTGAAGCGGATCGGCAGCCTACAGTATCTCTGCTGTGTCCAGTGCACTCGCGGGGAGGCGGCCAGTCTTCCTGCAACGCCCAGGCTGACTTAGATGGTAACCTGTTGGGGCCCAGAGCAGCCTTCCGTCACGTACAGCGCCTAGCACCGTGAGGTCGGCCCCAGGACAGAGCACCTCAGCTCCACAGTAATATCAGAACGAAACCCTGGGCACAAGCCCTGCGCAAATAGGGAATGTGTGTGACTTGGAGAGGGAGGGGTGATGGCGCTGCCAAGCCAGGGGCCTCTCCGGACCACAGCTGCGTCCTAGCATTAGACACGTCCTGGGCTTCCAGTCTCTCCAGGAGCTTCCGAGTGCCCGTTTCCTGCCCCAGGGACATGCCCATCAGCTGGCATTAGCAGAAGCTGCCGCACGGTAGGGCGCGCTGCAGCGGCCGCTCTCGCCGTCCATGTGGCTGAGCACACGCACCCTGTGCACGCGGCTGGTGTGCGCGGAAAGCTGTGCCTTCAGTCTGATTGACCGAGGACAGGGCATCTCCGCCTGGGAAGGGCTGGCCGGGGGCTGCTGTCATTGCAGGTTAGTGCACGCTGTCTGGAGTCCTCCACTGGGCTTCAGGTGAACCAAAGTGTGATCCCAGGGGGACTTCTTGTTTCACCGTGAAGCGGCAAGCGCAGCTGTGACCGCTGGGGCTGGCCGGGGGCTGCTGTCATTGCAGGTTAGTGCACGCTGTCTGGAGTCCTCCACTGGGCTTCAGGTGAACCAAAGTGTGATCCCAGGGGGACTTCTTGTTTCACCGTGAAGCGGCAAGCGCAGCTGTGACCGCTGCTCTGTCGGCAGGCGCCCTCTCCTTCCCCCCGGCGACCCCCCCCCCACTGCAGAGTGGAGACATGCCCCTTGCAGGGTTAAGCAGGCCTGAGATGACTGCAGTGCGAGAAGCACAGGACAGGTTAGCAGGGAGCAGGTGCTAATGAGAGGGAGCCAGCTGAATAGTTGAGTTGGGTTTGTCAGCACCCGATGGAGCTGCCCTCCGCCCCCAGGAGAGAGGATGAAGTTACCAAACTCAGACCGGAATCTCGAAAAAGAAGGTGATTGGTTCCAAGGGAACAAGGCGCCTGACAATTGTGCCTTTCCTCTTTTGATTTCACAGCGATTCTGGGTCCCCCTAACCTGACTCTGACATTGGCGAATGAGAATCTGACGGTAAATCTCTCCATGCCACTCACCCCTTATCGCAGGAGAAATGGCACTTACAAGTCAGTCCAGAAAGTGCTACCCAACTGGATGTACCGGCTCAGCCTTTCCGAAGAAGGTGTTCCCATCAACAGCGTAAGCTACGTGCACAGCCTGTCGGGAGGCAGAGGCAGTTCCACACGTCTGTGCGGCCTGAGGCTGGGTGACTTTCACAAGGGGCTGGTTTGGGTAGAAAATGTCAGTTTGGTTGCTTGTTTGATCTTCCTGACTCAGCAAAATTGGGTTGGAAATTTGATGAGATCAGGCTTTCTGGGCCTTCAGCTTCTGGTCCCAGCTTCCACCCTTCCTGCTGGTGGTTTGGCACCTCTGCTTCTGGGTCCAGCAGTTTGGAGATGGGGATCGAGGTTGTTTCTAGAGCTGGATCCTAAGAAGGCTTGAGGATGGGGGTGGTTTCTTCTTTTTCCAGACTGGAGGATCCATCCCTAACCAGGAGACCGGTTGGATCTCTTGGCAGTGCAGGGCAGAGAGGAATGTGTCTGACCCCAGTAGATGACGGGTGTAAAGGGGGAAGACTTCAGGAACAGAACTGCAGGCTGAGCTAGGGAATAGGTTTGCAGAGTACTTCTGAGAGGTGATTAGAGCTGCCTGAGTCCTGCTCTAAGACGACCTGCGCTGGAGGGAAGTCTGGAGAAAGGCAGAGTGCTGGGCGGGAGGGGGGCCCGATGGAGCAGGGTGCCTCAGTCAGAGGCGAGTTGTGGAGGACGAAACCCTGGGCACAAGCCCTGCGCAAATAGGGAATGTGTGTGACTTGGAGAGGGAGGGGTGATGGCGCTGCCAAGCCAGGGGCCTCTCCGGACCACAGCTGCGTCCTAGCATTAGACACGTCCTGGGCTTCCAGTCTCTCCAGGAGCTTCCGAGTGCCCGTTTCCTGCCCCAGGGACCTGC